GGTTGGGGTTAATCAAAAGCAAAGAAGCTCAAATATTCCTGCAGTAAAGAGCATTTTCTCTTTGTGGAAAATTCTTAATAAAAGTCTTACTTCTCAGTCACATTCAGCTTTAGTTCAGAGTTTCGTTCCAGTTGAAACACAACCGCTAATCTGTTCAGAGCTTCTGGAAGCATCTTGCAATCGAAGATATTGTCATATTCCTTGGCATGAAGCACAAAGAAAGAGTCATCATTGGGGCTGAAACAAGATGAAACCATTTTAATTGTTTGTTCCAAAGACATAATAATGACAGTGATTTATTTCATGTATACGTGTGATGTATTTGCCGTCATGTTGTAGTTAACAAATAGATTCCATGTTGCCGTGCGTCTGTTCAGTAATAGGTCACAGATGACGTCAAAATGTGGTAAGAACAAATAAGTGGCACACGAGGCGATAGCCGAGTGTGTCACTGATGTTCTTACCACATTTTGACGTCTTTTGTGATGTATTACTAAACAGACGCACGGCAACATGGAATCTATTTGTTTTATATATTAACGAAACAAACTTCTACAGATAAAGCTTTTTATTTCAAAATCTTTTAAGATAACTCGAAAGCTGGCCTCTGCCCTCTTTGGCGAACACCAAAAAAGCCATTTGACGTAGTCTATTGTCTATACAAAATGAAGCAATCTCATTGGTTGCTATGCGTAGTAAAGAATAGTGATTGGTCCGGAAAAATCACGCTACTGTCAAACTTGACTCGCGCGTCGCTTCTCGTGGAATCAAAACTTACAGCGAAAGCAGAATTGAACTGCGAAATCAACAAATCTTTAAGAAAATGCTGGAAAAGTCAAGTCAGTTTTTGTCATCAGAGCAGCCCTGTGAGCCGAAAAATTTGGACGTTGCCTTGAATATTGCAGGAGTTGAAAAATCTGGAGGCCATTCGATTCGAGTTGTGAATGAAAGGAACGTTAGCAACGGTGGAAATTTGTGTCCTCTGTGGTTGGTGATTCTCAAATCAGTTTGAAATAGTGTCGGAGATACCTTTTAGCTGCGATACAGTTGGCCGTGAGCTNCATTTCTCGTCAGCTTGATTGTATCGCTGAATGTACCGGGATGGACACCACCTCTTCGTCATTGTAGTTTTTTAAAACCGGAAAATACCGGTGGGTTCGTTCGTAGAAATAGAGACAAGACTTAGTGGAGTTGACATATTATGAATAACTTGTCTAGCCTGGTCATTCAGTTACAATAGAGGGTGGGATAAAGGGGAAAAAAATGAAAAATAACTAAAATAGAAAGACGAGTTATTATTAAACGAAAGTGGAACAAGGAGGAAGGTCTGGAAAGACTGAAAGGATGGCGAACGAAGAACCGCAAGTTTTCCATAGAAGTATCCGTGACGTAGTCTCTTTCAGAGCACACGTGATTTACTGTCTCGTCTAAACACCTGCGTCTCTTATCCTGGGCATGCGCTTACTGTCGTAAGTCATTATAAACATGAAATAAGACAGAGAACTGTTTTTAACAAAGCCCTATATAATGGCTGGTGCGGCAAACATATTCCGTGGACTGAAATGTCAGTCCGTTTTTAAAAGCTTGGTGAACATGGCACAAGTGACTTTAAACGGTTTGTGCATCTTGAAAAGTTTAGCCTGAATTTGCCAAGTTCTTCGTTTGTAATATGTGTCAATCTTTCAAAAATTAATTGTGTTCGTGGCTAAAATACCACGACTGAGCTCCTTTAAATATAACTGTAAGAGAAAATAGAGACACTTACAAGAGTTGATTACAGTAACAGTCAGACTAACGTCATCACTAAGTCTGTGCCATCATGATGCAACGAATACATGTACAGTGGTTAAATTTATATGCAAATTTGACTGAAAACCCCAGCATTGACAGCGTCGTATATTCGATACCTGAAGTTTCTTGCTCACCTAACTGTCACTGAATATATATCGGCCATCTTTAGCTTTCGTTTGACCGTGAAAGCGTTGTCTCCAGGTTTATATTTGCTTTTCAACTATTAAACAAAACAAAACAAAAGGTAATGATAATAACTCGGAGATTGATGTCCGTTAGCGAACTGGGAACGACTATGTTTTTCACTAACCTGGCCGATGACGTATAAACAACTCGCGGTCAGAACGAGGATGCGATCTTGTTCCTGTGGCGAAAAAAAAAAAAAAAGTCGCATGCAAAGGGAATTGAGAAAATTAATCACCATAATAACACTGGAAAAATTCAAAGCGTACTACGATTCCAGCAGACACAGTACAGTTGTAGTGTAAAGAAACGAAGTTCTTCAGAAGTGTACAGAGTATAGGTCAATGCTGACAGATTTTATCGGTATTTCTAGTTCACCTTTGTTAAATCAAAATTCTCGGTGCCCACTTATGCTTTATCCTGAAAAGTCTAAGCCGTGGACGCTAGGGGAGACGACTAGACATGCTAGAGAGAATTTTCTCGAGCAGCAAAGTCGACTAGTGACTTGCAAATTCAACTGTTAGCAAAATAAGTGATTTTACTGAGTTAAAAAAGTCTAAACATAGGAAAACGGATACGGAGTTAGAAGAGGGGGCGAAATGGGATATTAATATTACGAAAATATAAAAATTAAAAAACTCACCTTCCCATCTCTGCAGTACTTCTTTACTTCAGCCGCAAATTCAACTCTGGTGTCCGCTGAAGTGAAAGGTACAGCGAATACATATGATCAAATTTTAGTCACATTAGTTTCAAGATATGGAAAACAAAACAACATCAAGTAATCAAGCCACATCTAGATCTACAACATACCTATGACGCTTTGTAAAGATGGGTTGTTTTGGAAGTCCATGTAATCTCCTTTGAAACCCATATCCCATGAATCCCTTGTTTTCTTTTTATCACCAAGCACATCAACACCTATGATGACGTAGATTTTGAGTGTTAAAATATTGATATCTGTGTCCTCACTTTTTTAATTCCAATTCGATCTGGAAACAGTGCACGAGTAGCCATATCTGTGTTTGTAACTGCTAATTCCAGTTACATTTTACATTTTTGCATTAACATATATCAAACTCTGCAGAAAAAATTATTGAATGAAAATTGACCTTACGTGACCCATAGCCCTCAGATACAACTGCAGTTTAAAACCGTTATCTACGCCATACTGATAAATCTGTAATGATTCGATCTTTCCAATGAGCGCTCTCCAGTGAGTGTCAATTTTTTTCAATGGGCGCTCCTATTTCAATCTGAGCGCCCAAAGCTTAAGTCCTAATAATTAGTCTATTCTTTGTCAGTCCTCTTGAATGAACATTCAAGAGGACTGACGATAATATAAGGTCTGCTTTGTCATCTGAACATGATATTGCACGTTACGACTATCAGAACCCCTGTTGTGACAGTTATTGAATTAGTTAATGTTGTATTATATCACATTTAAATGTATATGTTGAAAAAGAAATGAGCGACCTGTTCCTAATGGGCGCCTTTTCTCCTATGAGCGCCTCTCTTGAGCTACCAGAAGGTTAATAAGCGCCAGGGCGCGCTAAAGCGAACCATTATAAGCTATTATGGTAAGATTAAACCTATTATAAAAGAGTGCGTAAGAGCTACAACTACAAAAAACCTCGTCTGTGGAAGTTGCGTGCTCAGTTGACATTAACGGACTATGCAACTAGCGTGTAATGAGGTGATGCATAGCTTGGCGGCAATAGAAAGTCACTTTCTGTCTTTTACTAACAAAACTTTTCATTACCTTGTATCAGCTTCTTGATCGCTATCAACTTATCAAGCGCATCACGATCCCTGTATCGGCGGTAAGCTCGCTGAATCACTACTACACCTTAAAATAAACGTTTTAAGTAAAAAAGTTAAAAAGATCTTAAATAAAGTATACTGAGCTGTATATATTTGTTATTGATTTAATTATCACTGCGATGGACTAGATCTAATTGATTTATTAATGCTCATGATTAATTAACCTTTTTTTTACTTGGACTCGTTGATATAAATTGAAAAAATGGCCAAAAAGTGAAAATTAAGAAATCATTTCTTAAACAGTTTTGTCCACCATCTTCATTCTTTTAAGCAAACTATTTATTTCATTTCGGTGTTATTTAACTGACAGTTCTTGTATCGAGTTGTAATTATGGCTACTAACTATATCGTATTTTTAAAAAAACTAGCATATAAAAGCTCTTATGGCAGCTTTGAGTTTAGTAAGTTTTTGAATTTTGAAAAAGCAGCCGGCGCGAATCGCGGGAAAGCGTGTGTGAGCGAGTCACCATTGATTTTGATTATACTCCTGATTGGTCCTGATTGGCTGAAAAAGTGGCGGGATTTTTTTCAAACCAATCATTAAGTGTAGAAATGCAAGGCCAAAACAAGTGCAAACAACATTCGACACTCAAGTAAAAATACGCTCTAAATAATTAATCAAATCGGAATAAGAGGTATAAATATGATAGCACTGTACTTCTACTCGCTAACGAACCTTTTCGTATTTGTAGGAACTTCTTTCTCAATCTGTAGGTCCGATAAACACCTTGAATTATGATGCAATACTTCTCCAGAATAGCATTTTTGATATCTTCAAGCTGATTAAGCTGTAAGAGATAGAGCAAATTTTTTCTTGCGCGGAATTGCGGAAAGAAGATCAAGTTAGTGCATTGGGTTTTGGGGGAAGAGGGGTGCTGAGATGAAGGTGATTGTATACGGCTTTGGTTCTTAATACACCGTACAAGACGTTCGAAAATAGCTCCCATCCCCACTCCCTCTCTTCTACGAATATAAACCATGGATTCATATCAATTGCAGATTTAGAGAGTTGAGATGTGAATTTTTGCATTACAAGAAGGAAGTGCATTAAATACCCCCTTTTTAAGCAAGTTTTACAATGCAGTGTTTTTGTACAAACAAAAGAAATTTTGCATAATCTAATCGATACACGAGAGATTTAGATGAAGTTTACAAAAAACCATTTAAACTTTGAAAGGCTCTTTGCCTTCAGTTTTCACATCTAGGATTTTACGAGTGGGGGAAAGGAAACTTCCGTGTGTTGCTTCTTGCTGTGAGTCTAAAAAACTTACCGTACTTGGTTCTTTTAGGAATAACTTTGTTTTACCAGCTTGCCATTTTGAGGGATCGATTCCAGCATCATTCATGATAATACGACAGCCTTCTGCTTGATCACCAGACCAACCCTTACAGACTTGTGAGGAAATAATGCCATATCTAAAGGGAAATATCATCAATGTCAGAAGGAACCTAAAGTAAGTCTGGACAAGCAGCCAGCCGGGGTTGCTTAGCTTAAATCTTTCTCAGCAATTACTTTCTTAACCATCCTAACGGGCTGCTATTAGTAAAATAACTGTCTTAGTGACTGCCGAGGGCAAGTGAAAATAAATTGAAAACAGGCTCAACTCTAGAAAGAGATGAGTGGCCGATAATCAAATAGCTCTATATTGGAAGAGAATATTAACTGGCTTTAGAGAATACTAATGACGGAGGTTTTGGACCAACAATTAAGAATAAAAATTAGCGATAATAATTTCGAATGACGTTTCGATGACTCGTTCATCATTTTCACATTCCACATTGTAGAGTTTTTAATCACATGCAACGAAGCTTTCAAGCGCATTCTTAATATATGAAGAACTCATAAGAATCTGACTTTTAGAATTTGAAAATTAACGAGTCATCGAAACGTCATTCGAAATTATTATCGCTTTAAAGAATAGCATAGTTTGAAATAATCGAGGAAGGTATATGTAATACAAAATTAAACGTTGTATGTGTGTATATCCTTTCTGTGAATTCATTGAAAGAGCTCATTTTGGCAAGTGAATATATATAGATATTTTTTCTATTTTTAGATAAATTATTTTTTTAGATAAATTAACCAGAACACGGCTGAACAAATTCCCAATTTTTAATGAATTCATTTTTCTTTCGTCATGACGTACACTCTCTGGCAATGATAAGGAAACGACAACATAACTAACTCGCTCATCAACTGTTCTGTTAAAATGTTGGACATTGTTTGAGTGATGGTGGATGGCTATCTCGTTGCCAGTTCCATCCTTTCTCGTTTGGAACCTCACAATTCCAATCTACCGATCGATTGGATTCACTGATGTGAATTTCAGTCTGGATACTGTATTTATAATCGCTAGCTTTTGGTTGTTAAAATTACGGCGAGACAATGTAATTTTCGAGCACACAAAACTTGTTTAAAAAGATCCTGTTCATAGTTCATTGTTTTGATGAAAACACTGTAAAACATGAGTTTAGCTTTAAAAAAAGGTTCAAAAAATGCCTAAATACTGTTTTACATGGTTGCCATGATCAAGCACAAAAGTCACGAAATAGGCAAATCTTTAGATGATTTACACAGTTGAATTTCTACAACGCCCCCACCCAGAGGCAGAAGGAGCTGGCCGCTATAGAGTGTTATACGAGTCAAGTGTATGTATCGGCAAACGGTCCCCGGGACAAAAAATATTGGCTGTTAGTAGA